ATGCTCCACTGGGGCGCAGCTTGATACGACCGCAGAGGTCGAACCCTGAACAGTTGGGGCAAGTATGGACACAACATTCAAGCTTGATACAGCACTGAATTTGGATTGTAATTAAATATTTGACACAGCATAGGTTTCTCACACAGAATGAAAGTGGTCTAAGAACTTAAAAATTTTTAATTTACCTATTCAAACCATATCATTATTATTTGCTTTTATATATAAATCAGAAATAACCAATTTAAAATGGAAAATTTTAAAGAAAAAAAATGAAAAAAAAATCCCCCCCAATTTTTTGAACCCCCTTATGATTCATCACCCCCAAACTCAATCCCAGCTTTCCCTTTGTGGTATGGTACCTTGCAGTACAATTTCAGAGAAATCCATACATTTGAACACAAGTTATTGTCTGGAAACTAGAAGAATGCTTGTTTTTTGGCCCCTTGTTGGCCCCAAATTCCTAAATGTTTGGGGCAATTACCACCAAACTCAAACCCAGCTTTCCCTTTGTGATATGGAACCTTGCAGTACAATTTCATAAAGATCCATACATTTACACACAAGTTATTGTCCTGAAACTAGAAAAATGCTTGGTTTTTTGCCCTTTTATGGCCCCTAATTACTAAAATTTTGAGGGATTTACCACCAAAATCAATCCCAGCATTCCCTTTGTGGTATGGTACCTTGCAGTACAATTTCAGAGAGATCCATACGTTTGAACACAAGTTATTGTCTGGAAACTAGAAAAATGCTTATTTTTGGCCCCTTATTCCTAAACTTTTTGGGCAATTACCCCCAAACTCAATCCAGCTTTTCCTTTGTGATATGGAACCTTGTAGTACATTTTCATAAAGATCCATACACTTACACACAAGTTATTGTCATGAAACTAGAAAAATGCTTGTTTTTTTGCCCCTTTTTTGCCCCTAATTCCTAAAATTTGGAGGCAATTACCCCCAAAATCAATCCCAGCATTCCCTTTGTGATATGGAACCTTGTGATACAATGTCAGAGAGATCCATACTCTTACACACAAGTTATTGTCATGAAACTAGAAAAATGCTTGTTTTTTGCCCCTTTTTGGCCCCTAATTCCTAAAATTTGGAGGCAATTACCCCCAAAATCAATCCCAGCATTCCCTTTGTGATATGGAACCTTGTGGTACAATGTCAGAGAGATCCATACACTTACACACAAGTTATGTCTGGAAGTTACAATAAAATACTCTGCAGGGCGCAGCTTGATACGACCTCAGAGGTCGAACCCTGAACAGTTGGGGCAAGTATGGACACAACATTCAAGCTTGATACAGCTCTGAATTTGGATTGTGATTAAATATTTGACATAGGTTACTTAAAAACTTAAAAAAATTTAATTTACCTATTCAAACCATATCATTATTATTTGCTTTTAAATATAAATCAGAAATAACCAACTTAAAATGGAAAATTTTAAAAGAAAAAAAAAAGGAAAAAAAGAAAAAAGAAAAAAATCCACCCCCCCAAATTTTTTGAAACCCCTTATGATTCATCACCCCCAAACTCAATCCCAGCATTCCCTTTGTGATATGGAACCTTGTGATACAATGTCAGAGAGATCCATACTCTTACACACAAGTTATTGTCATGAAACTAGAAAAATGCTTGTTTTTTGCCCCTTTTTGGCCCCTAATTCCTAAAATTTGGAGGCAATTACCCCCAAAATCAATCCCAGCATTCCCTTTGTGATATGGAATCTTGTGGTACAATGTCAGAGAGATCCATACACTTACACACAAGTTATGTCTGGAAGTTACAATAAAATACTCTGCAGGGCGCAGCTTGATACGACCTCAGAGGTCGAACCCTGAACAGTTGGGGCAAGTATGGACACAACATTCAAGCTTGATACAGCTCTGAATTTGGATTGTGATTAAATATTTGACATAGGTTACTTAAAAACTTTAAAAAATTTAATTTACCTATTCAAACCATATCATTATTATTTGCTTTTAAATATAAATCAGAAATAACCAACTTAAAATGGAAAATTTTAAAAGAAAAAAAAAAGGAAAAAAAGAAAAAAGAAAAAAATCCACCCCCCCCAAATTTTTTGAAACCCCTTATGATTCATCACCCCCAAACTCAATCCCAGCCTTCCCTTTGTGGTATGGTACCTTGCAGTACAATTTCAGAGAGATCCATACACTTGAACACAAGTTATTGTCCTGAAACTAGAAAAATGCTTGTTTTTTTCCCCTTTTTGGCCCCTAATTCCTAAAATTTTGAGGCAATTACCCCCAAAATCAATCCCAGCCTTCCCTTTGTGGTATGGTACTTTGCAGTACAATTTCAGAGAGATCCATACACTTGAACACAAGTAATTGTCTGAAAACTAGAAAAATGCTATTTTTGGCCCCTTTTTGGCCCCTTATTCCTAAATGTTTTGGGCAATTACCCCCAAACACAATTCCAGCTTTCCCTTTGTGATATGGAACCTTGTAGTTCAATTTCAGAAAGAATCATACACTTACACACAAGTTATTATCATGAAACTAGATAAAAGCTTGTTTTTTGCCCGGGCCCTTTTTTGGACCCTAATTCCTAAAATTTTCAGGCAATTACCCCCAAAATCAATCCCAGCATTCCCTTTGTGATATGGAACCTTGTGGTACAATGTCAGAGAGATCCATACACTAACACACAAGTTATGTCTGGAAGTTACAAAAATGCTTATTTTTGGCCCCTAATTCCTTAACTGTTGGTACCATAATCCCCAAAATCAATCCCAACCTTCCTTTTGTGGTATTGAACCTTATGGTAAAATTTCACGGAGACCCATTCACTTAAACTAAAGTTAGAGTGCGAAAACCAATGTGTCTTCTGACGACAACGACGACGACAACGACGACGCCAACGTCATACCAATATACGACCAAAAATTTTTTAATTTTTGCGGTTGTATAAAAATGCTTATTTTTGGCCCCTAATTCCTTAACTGTGGGTACCATAACCCCCAAAATCAATCCCCACCTTCCTTTTGTGGTATTGAACCTTATGGTAAAATTTCATTGAGAACCATTCACTTAAACTAAAGTTAGAGTGCGAAAACTAATGTGTCTTCGGACGACGACAACGACGAAGACGCCAACGTAATACCAATATACTACCACAAAATTTTTTTTGCGGTCGTATAAAAATGAAAAAAAATGGTAAAATTTGTCATTTAAAGGACAATAACTCCTTAAGAAATCCACTGACAGTTTTGACGTAAATAAACAATTGGTAGAGTTTAACATTCTCAACATTTCTGCTCTGTCAGATTTTCTCTATTCATAATGGTTTTCAAAATAATAGACAAAACTGTATTTTACTCCTATGTTCTATATTCAGCCATGTCGGCCACCATCATGGTTGGCAGACTGGGTCATCAGACACATTTTTTAAACTAGATACCCCAATGATGATTGTGGCCAAGTTTGGTTAATTTTGGTCCTGTAGTTTCAGAGGAGAAGATTTTTGTAAAAGTTAACGCACGACTATGATCAGAAAAGCTCACTTGGCCCTTTGCGTCAAGTGAGCTAAAAAGGGATTTTTATAAGACATTTAATCAGAGATAAATAAAATTCGTAAGGGTTCCGCGGAACCCAGTGTCTCGCCTACTTTTTCTGTTAATCGCAGGCTCAACAAAAATGAGGAAGTAAATCAATAAAAATATTCCCTCTTGATACTATCTTTTGATTGTAAGAAGCTTCTGCCCAAGTTTGGTAAAAATCCAGGATAGTTTATGAATCTAATAAATGTTTAAAAACTTTAACTGCAGACTGAATGTAATGTTAACTGGAAGAAAACAAAATTTCCTTCTAGATACTAACATTTGATCATAAATAAGCTTCTGTCCAAGTTTGGAACAAATCCAAAATAGTATAAGAAAGTTATTGAAAATTTCAAAACTTTAACCACAGAGTGAATGTGTTGTTTCCTGGCAGAAAATCTAAGTCCATTTAAAAGTAAAATATGGAAAAAATGGAATTTTATTTTTACAAAATTTACTTCTGGATACTATCTTATGATCATAAACAGGCTTCTGTCCAAGTTTGGTAGAAATCCAGGATAGTTTAAGAAAGTTATCAAAATTTCAAAAACTTTAACCACAGAGTGAATATTTGTGGACGCCGCCGACGGAATGTAGGATCGCTATGTCTCGCTTTTACATAAGCAAACCCTTAGGCGTATGACCAACCAGAAAATTTTGATTCATAAGCGAGTCTATATTTACCAATCATAACAACAGTGTTACGTTAGAATATAACATACTAGAGCTAGTGCATTATATTTTAAAAATGCCTTTCATTTATCTGATGGTCAGAGACCCATAACTCTGGAATGATATATCAAGAGTTTTTTTTTAAATATAACAGTGTGTTCTGTTCACAAGTTCAAACAATTTATTAAAGTTTACAGTAAATCAATCCAAGCAAGCTCAAATTATGGTACATGTGAAAAATTAACTTAAATTTAAGAATTAATCTTCCCTAACTTGGGAACATCACACCAGAAAAGAGAAAGGGAGCTTCCTTTTATCAATCCTAACAATAATGTTAAGCTTTTAAGAAAAAAATCCAGTGTCTTTATATATATTTGTTGTTCCTCATCAAGAATAAAAATCCATTGTCTTTATATATATTTGTTGTTCCTCATTAAGAATTAAATGCTATTGGTGGGGTTATTTCAACTTTGTCTCATCTGTTAGAATTGCACTTGTATATATATTTACTGATTTCTTGTTTTGGATAAGGAATCAAATCTTTCTTTGTGAAAAACGTTTTTAATTTATGTGATTGTTATTATCAAGTGTTGTACATTTTGATTGAACTATTTGTTATGTTTGAATAAAAGGAATGGGGTAGACCTTAATGAAACAGAAACACAACACTTATTAGATATGTTTCCATAAAAAAGTGGCATTCCTTTAGGTACAACTTTTTGTATTCTATGAGCAAAACAAAAAGACAGAAGAAATAAAATCTCTCTTATTTTAATCCATTAAGCCATAGCTATCAATACTGACCTGTATACATTGAACCAATACATTTTGTTTTACCTTGTAAGCAAAAATAAGGAACTCACATGATTAATGTGTAAATTCAACAAATAAAAATGCATAATTGAAAACTAGGTACACATAAAAAAAATCAAATAATTTTTAAAAATATTACACTTTTAAATATTGTTATATCTAATATGTACAAATGATGCTTAAAATAAACAAACCTTAATAAATATACCACAAACAACTATTTTATTTTGCCTTTTTCCATTCATGATTCATATACATTTGCCAGCAATTTCGGAATAAGTGTCAAAGAGGTAATGGTGGGTAAATATATGACAAACATTCACATGATAAAATGGGAACACCACTACATGATAGCCCATTTTGTGTATGAACCAATTCAGGCTTTCTGGACCAAATGTTGTTCTTTGTCGTTTGTAAGTTTTGTTTCTCAAAGTGTGGTCTGTTGTACTGTCTAATATTTTTTGTAATTCCTGTTATCTTTTTATGTATTTCAAGTAATCAGTACATTTTATTCCTGTTTTTCATTGTGACAGTAAATTTGACATCTGTAATAAACCAAAGCATATCTTTTAACATGATCAATGGATCCCTTCTTGTATAATTTTATAAAAAATGACTCAAATGTTCTTGAAGAAAATTAATAAGTTATATTAATTATATCAATAACTGATGAGATCTTCTTACAAATAATTTTCTTCATAGCTCAAAAACAAAATAGTATCAAAATCAAAATAAGCAGTAAGACAACATGAGGTTATTAATGTGGCCTATATTTGTGTACATCCGCTTCATTTGAACTCTGGTGGATAGTTGTCTCATTGGCAATCATACCGCATCTCCATAGCTTTAAATTACTGAACCAAAAAAGACCAACATTTGGTCATGTTTTTTTTCAGCAAAGTGTAAGATCATTCAACTTTAAGGAAATTCAAAAGACAAAAGTAGTAAGGGGAATTAATTTAAGCAGCAACAGAGAAAATATATAACAAGGTAAAGAAAAACTAATTACCACATAACATGTAAAATTCATACTAATGACATTTTAAAATCTTTTTAGTGGTGAAATTCAAAGTTTAATTCTGAATATATGCTTCATGTTTATATCAAAGATTAGAATGCAAGATCTAAACGATAACATGTAACAGATTTCAATATCTGAAAAACTAAGCTAATCAAATATATTCAATAGAGTTCAATAGAGTTTTGTATGCATTTAACTAACAAAACAAGTACCTTAGATATTGTAAACATACATGTACATGTAAGTTTTAACCAAATATGAAATTGATATATATCTTTAAGAAACAGAAACTAGATGATAGCACAGCTTGGCAATAGCATACTGAATGCAAAATTACAAATCAATTCATTCCTTAATATCATCACACTGATCACAGGCACATTTCAAAAAAGAGAAGATGCATAGTTAATGAGAAAACTGTCTTAAATAATCCAAACTGAGATGTTAAGTAATTTTCCAGGATCCAGTTATGGAAAGTGAAAGACAAAAGATGAAAAATATTAAGTGAAAATAGTTTTAACTTATTCAGGAATCATATCAGTGAACAAAATAAAATGCATAACATCCTGAAACTCACTAAATACGAAATTTCAACCCATTTAAAAGTACAATCACTGAAAAATCTGTGTATAAAAATGAAACTGGGAAATTCTGTAGAAATATAATTAGCACCATTTGATTCAGCAGAACAGTAGCATCAGTCAATGACTTTTTATTCTTATCCCTCAAAATAATTTTGAAAGGAGTGGCAGTTCAAAAAATCATCAAGACTTATGAAATCAAAATAATATCTTTCTTTTTATAATTAAAAAAATAATTATTTCAATCAATAACATGAGCAAAGGACCTCTTAGTATAAACATTTAATACTGCTTAATACACACATATATGTAGTAAAATCTTAGAACTTTGGTTGTTAAAAACAATCTACATATAATATATCAAATCATATACCACAGCATATATTATTTCACCATAAGGGTAGCAAGCATCAATGACGTCTGATTTCCTAACATCATTTATAAAGGCTTAAAAAAATTCCCCTGGTATCATAATCATCGATGGCACTACTGAAATTTGAGTACCATATAGTTCAGAGAATTTAATGAACAACACATCTGCTACATTCATGTTTAAAAAAAATACAATGGATGCCTGCATTCCTTGTGGTTCAGTAATTAGTTGACAAGTCCAGAATACAACAAAAATTGTCATTCAAAATGCACCTTTTTCAAATTTTAGTTCTGCTTTCATAAATGTATTGAACACTTCTTTATCAGAGATTCAAATTTAATAGTTTAATGAAATGTATTTTATGTATTTGGAGATACAATTTCTCCTGCTTTTACATGTGTCATAAACACATTCAAGTACACTGCCAAAATTGTGACTTTTATAGTATTCTACTTTCCAATTTATAAAACTTTCATAACTTATCCTTAAACTTTAAATGTCTACACAAAACTGAAAATTCATAATCTTTCTAATAAACATATTAAAAATCTATACGTAAATAAAAGAATACTTTTTGCACTGTTAAAAAATTACTATATATAACATCCACTAACAATAAATATTGAAAGCCTATAACAAGTGGTTTCTGTCTACTGTCTAAACATGTAAAGACCATTCCATAATTGAATCTGGTTGACTTTGTGTAAGTGTTTATGGAGGAGGTGCAGAGAGGCATTTTAAATAAAATTCCATGGAAGGTGAACACACTCCAAGACCACTGAGGTGGTTTATCAGTATTGAAAAAGGTTGTATACTATTTATTTTTAAAAAAGATTATTCAAAAATAAAAGAGAATCAAAATCCAAAGGAAGACACATTTACAATCATTTGTGAGGTGTGAATTTTTGTGGGTAAGATTTCAACCAGAAATTTAAGTTTTCATAAAAATACAGGTATTCTAAAAGCTTGCATGCACATTATGTTTAAACCAAGAAATCAAGTACATGTACTTGTGTACACAAAAATACACAATTTCCCTCAATCAAAGAATATTGACACACAAAAATAAATGAATGCACAATATATTAATTTGGTATGGTTAGGCATTACAGTTTGAAAAAACAAATCAAAGCTTTCATTCACTGTCCATAATATTCATGTTCTTGTGCATTCTGAACATTCTGGTGAGGATTAATATAAGGCCACATGTACATGAAAGGTGACGGATTAGGAATCTGTGTTACTGGACCACCATGTGGCGTTTGAACATCACTGCTATCTGCAGGATGTATGTGTGAACTTGCCATAGAGGTTAATGCTAACGGTACATTCAAATTTGGTGCCGGTGAAATGTTTGTAAAATGAGACTGTTCATGGTAGGTACGGCTTGATGCTAGTGGTGTAAGTGTTGGTGATTCTGACATTTCTCTGACAGAATGATGAGATGCATAGCTGTCAGCACTTGGGGAAGGTTTACGGTGCTCTGGTATTGGTACCCCTGTAGCTGGTTCACTGCTGTCTGGTTCCTGTACTCTCTGTTGCCGATTCATTTCATCAGCCACTGCATTATAAGTAGCTTTCTCAACCTGCGACTCTATGGATGTTGTTGTATCAATGGGTTCTGCATTCTGAGTTAATTTTCCGTGAATTTTCATGTGAACACGTAAATTATCTGCCCTTGAGCAAGTTTTTCCACAAACAGGACAAGCAAATCGCTTATAGTCAGCATGGACTGTTCTCTTATGCTTAGACAGTCCACCTTTGTCTTGAAACAAATTTCCGCATATATCACATGAGTATGACTTGGTACCAGCATGCCTCTTCTGGTGAGCCTTGCACCTCTCTTTAGTTTTAAAAGGCTTTCCACATTCAGGGCAAGGGTAAGGACTTTCGGTTTTATGGACATACTGGTGTGAATAAAGGGTGGCATAGGTTTTAAAGGATTTACCACAAGTACTGCACTGGTAGGTTTTCTCATCCTTATGTATAGCTGTGTGTATTTCTAAAGTGCTCTTGTACATGAACTGTCTGCCACACACATCACACATGAACCTGTTGCCATCCATACTATGACGACGTCTATGAGTCTTCATAGAGAATTCGGTCTTAAATTCTTTCTGGCACACTTCACACGTAAACCATTTGTCAGTTTCATGCTTAGATTCTGTGTGATATTTCAGTGAGTGACTATTGACAAAACCTTTGTCACAGTACTTGCATTTGTAAGGTTTTATATTTTCATGTGTCATTTCATGAACTTTTAAACTTGTCTTGTATGCAAAGGACTTGCTGCAGAATCGGCACATGTGAATTTTGTTGTTTTGGTGGACTCCTATCATGTGCATTTTCAAATGATTAGAGGTAAGATAAGTTTTATCACATTCTACACACTGAAATGGTCGTTTTCCACTATGTTTAAGCATGTGAAGTTTCAAACTATGGCTAAAATTGAATGATGACCCACATTCTTCACATGTGTATGGTTTTTCCCCAGCATGTATTCCTCGTTTGTGGTGATAGAGAGATTCTTTACTGCAGAATTTTTTGTCACAGATATTACAAGCATATTTATTTTTCTTATGTGCAGACAGATCATGACGCCGCAGAGCTTTACTTGAACTATACACTTTTTCACATTCCTCACACGAAAATTTTTCTCTGACATATTGATCATTCTTTATTTTCAGTCTTAGAGGAGGAATCCTCTTTTTTTTAACAGTCTTTTTCTTGCTTCCTTTATTCTGAGCTTTAAGTGCTTTGGTTACGGTAAGGGTTTTCTTCAAAGGAAGACCAGACGTTAGTTTTTTTACATTACGAATAGACGGTTTCCTCCCCCTCTTTTTGGTATTTGCTTGAGGTTGCTTTTGGTTATGCTTCTCCTCCAAATGTTGGTGTAAGGCTCGATTTGATGGACAAATTTCTTCACAGAAGTTACAAAGATAGACATTCCCTATATCATGGTTAACTCTCAAATGATTCTCAACTTTGCCTTGACTTTTGAAGGTAGCTGAACAAAGTGGGCATGAAACTGGTTCATTTTTAGACTGGTCTGGAGAACTGGTATCCTCTGGTGGTACGGTGGGCAGGACAACAAGATCAGTATTATCAGAGTCTGATTCATCGACACAGACATCCTCACTGTCATTGTCCCCTTGATTTTTAACATCTGGTTCAACTGTTTTCTGATCTTTACTTGCTGATCCTGTTAAAAAAGGATACAATTTAATAACTTAAATTCATATGGTCATATTATAAATTAACTGTTTACAAAATTTTGAATTTTTCTTAATACTAAGGGTTGTCTACCCCTGGAAGAGATTACCTTAGGTTTGTATTTGGCAAAACCTTTCGGTATTTGGGTCCTCAATGCTCTTCAATTTCGTACTTTATTCTGCCTTTCTAACTTTTTTGATTTGAGCATCCCTGATGAGTCTTATGTACACAAAATACGGTTTGGCTTACAAGATTTTAGTACTGGTATCTATGATGAGTTTTTTTTGTACATTATTCAACTCAATCTCTTCCGAGTAGCATATTCATGATCAGTTGCATTGAAAAAGGCTTACTTAAATAAATTTCAGTAGCAATTGTAAATTTACAGTTAAAAGTTATTAACTTAATAATTATTCAAACACTTCTATAAAAAGATGCTTTGTTCTGTCAAAGTACCCTAAGGTTATAATTTAAATAAATTTATATAATTTAGGACACATTTTTCTAAATTTTGAAATTTACCACATTCAAGTTACAAAACCAAACTTTTATAATATAAGATATATATCATGATAGAATTTTTACTCAAAAGATCAAGTTAATTGCATTCTATTAATGGAAAATTTTTAATTTCATTTAAATAATGTACATAAGTACATTTGTACCTAACTTTCTCTCATTATTAGCGAATCTAAATTTTCTTTAACAGGTTGATTTTTTTTTTCAAATCAACATTTGGTTTGTTTGATCTCAGTTCTTCTTTGGTCAAAATTCAATTAGGACATCAAATTTTCTTGTTTTCTTCTGAATTTTGGATTGTGACGTCATAAAAAAGGGCAACCACGACTGTTAATATCACATAGGAAGAACACATCTTTTTTCAGATCATTATAAAAAGAAAGATGAAATTTGTCTATATCTAAAAATTATTAGAGAAAAAGATTCCACAATGGCGTCTTGTGCATACATGTAACAATATTTCTCAACTATCAACAGTTAAATTTTAAAGACATGCATTTCAAATTTTAAAAATTAACTGTCTCAAGTGGATAAATATCATATCACACTTGATGCAGTGGTAGAATCTATATTACTGTGACTTGACTGTAAGTGTTGCTCTTAACCTATTGCAACTTATTCAAAATTCTGACCAAATTGCAATTTGTTTTATAAAACCAAACTGTTCAACTGGTCAGAAATTTGAACAAACTGCTGTAGAAAACCACAGTCTAGTTGTGAAAATCCAAGGTGATAAAATAAAGCATACTTACAATCCTATAAGACTTTAATTCCACTTCAATGTTATAATGAAAAATCAGTCTAACAGTTTGTATAGAAATTTTATTGTTATTGTCATGCTAAAGGTGATGGGTAGTAATTTTGAATTGCTATAAAAATGTCCAAACTAAGCTTTCATACAATTTTTCTTTCCAAAAGTCTTCTATATTCATAAGAATCAGACATCATTTAAATTAAAACATTTTATATTCAGTAAAATATGTGTGAAATTACAATACGTGTTTAGTAAGTTTCCATGGGAGATAATCAATTTTTCTTTCGAAAAGTCTTCTACATTCAAAAGAATAATGTTTTACGTTTTCTCCCATGGAAACTTATTAACAACGTATTGTAATTTCACATATATTTTACTGAATGTAAGATGTTCTAATTCAAATGATGTCTAATTCTTATGAATATAGAAGACTTTTCGAAAGAAAAATTGTATGAAAGCTTAGTATGGACATTTTTATAGCAATTCAAAATTACTACCCATCACCTTTAGCATGACAATAACAATAAAATTTCTATACAAACTGTTAGACTGATATTTCATAATAACATTGAAGTGGAATTAAAGTCTTATAGGATTGTAAGTATGCTTTATTTTATCACCTTGCACTTTCACAACTTGACTGTGGTTTTCTACAGCAGTTTGTTCAAATTTCTGACCAGTTGAACAGTTTGGTTTTATAAAACAAATTGCAGTTTGGTCAGAATTTTGAATAAATTGCAATTGGTGGAGAGTAGCAACACTAACAGGCAAGTCACAGTAACACTACTTTCATGAGAACAACATATTGTACATAAAAATTAATTAGAGGTAATACAAAAATGTAGGTTAATGTACTTAGTGCATCTACTCTATTGTTTAAACTCACTTGTAACTTTGACGACTTTTACTTCTTCAGGTAAAATTTCTGTTTGTGTGGCAGCTACATTTGTCAGAAGATCAGTCTGTATTTCTTTGTCGTTTCCTTGAGTTGTAGATCTTACTTCATCATCTGGTGCATTTATGGGTAATTTTATATCATCTTTTGAAACAGAATTTTCAAATTGGTACAGACGATCTTGACTGTTGTCAAGCTGGACTAGCAACTGGGCTCTTACTGCTAAGGTATTTGAGAACTGGTAGTTAGTAGCAAAGAATTGATGAATAGATTGAATAAGCTTTTTTGTCATCAGCTGATGAAATTCTGCAGGATCACCATTCTAAAAAAATGAACTAAAATAATTAATTTAAATCAGTCAGCAAGAATCAATTTAAACTGCCATATAAATATTTTGCCCATATTTATAATTGATAAAAGTACAGATTATTCTTAACCATCAGTTCAATAAAACTTGTCTAACACAGTATAGGTACATGTATATAAATGCTGTAAAGCTCTGATCTTTCTAAAAGATCAAGTTTACTTGAGGAGGATATTTTTGTGATTTATCTTAATTGGGATAATACTATAATAGTATTGTAAGAATTAACACCTCACAAATATTTCCCACTTACATTATATTTTAAAAAAGATACCTGATGTTTGATTTATAATAAAAGAATGGTCACATTCATGTGATGTTTAATATGAATGTATTTCATCCTGTAAACATATATCACAGGTACAATGTTCATGTGTAAAACCAAAGGACACATCTTTAGAGGGGTAATATTAGCTTCGAGAAATAAAAAAAATCAAAATATGATTTTTTTTTGGTTCTATAATTAATGAAAGTCAAAGAGTGAAATAATAATTCGCTTTAAGCAGCCAGTTTGCTTTAATTTTGTCAAAATAAGCTTAGAAACATCGCAGATGAATTAATCACTTGCAAGTGAATAATTTGACCTCATTGAATCTGTATTCATGTGACCTTCAATTTAACCCCTTAGCTAGAGATGGGTTACACACAAACTAGGGGTGTTTTAAGCTATTAAAAGGAAAAGAATGTCAACATTGAAATGAAACAAGGGTAAACTATTTCGTTGACGGATTGGATCCACAAAAACTCATTCTTATACAGGTAAAAACGACTATTATCACATTTTTTTTACCTTTAATATGAAATCAAAGAGACCTAGAAAAATCCAATTGCATGTGTTCGCTATCTATTTATATTGGGTTATATGACCGTCGACAGTCTTCAGAGGTCACCTCAATAGTTAATAAGATGGCGTCTAAACTAAAATACACACAGAATGTTGATACATATTATCAAGTACATGCATCTTAAATTTTTTATTTTAGACTTTTTATAATTTGGATATACGTTTTAGCATGTTAAGTATCTTATAAATCAAATATGAGAATTTGAGTCAAACCAGTGAACATGAATTTGACACCTAAGGCTAATGGAGTAATGCCTCTTTAAGGTAAATTACAAAATGAAGAAAATTTCTATTCTTGTATGAATTTTTAAAACTGATATAAGATAACTGCCAATGCAAGGATACATGTACATTTGTACTTGTGACAATTCGTAAAAATGACTTTGACTATAGATGTGTTTTTGTACAGAAGCCAATTTCCTATTTCCAATTACAGGTACTTCATAACTTAGAATTACTTGGTGTCTGTGAGTCCCAGATATTACTGATGAGCCTAGGACTAATCTAGCTCTTTGTTGAGTTCAACAATCTTAAACAAAACACTTTATTTTCATGCAACCTTTTTTTTTCTTTATTTTGTCTTCCTTTTGTTACAGCTAATTGGTGTTAATTTCCACTCAAATGTACATTCATTTTTTTAGGTTGGGGGTTTCTTATTTCAACAGGAGATAATAACTCATTTGGGGTATCATACATGTAGCTCAAATGGGATATAAATTTTAAGTGCAAAAAACTCATTATTTTTTTTAATTTTGCCAAAAAAATGAAAAGGGCATTTGTTCCAGTCAATAGTAGCAACTTTTGTCTTTTGGATAGAGAATTTTGCAGAAAAAGAATAAGTTACTAGATTGGTCCCTCAGAAAAACAGCATCTTCCAAGGGATCAAATTCATAAACATCCAGGTATTCGGATCATTGCTAACCAAAAGTTGTTGCCTTTTACTTAATCATTTGCACTTTGTAATGTTTTCCCTTGTTTTTGCACAGTAAATTTATATCCTATGTAGATATTAGATCCAAACTAAATTGGATATTATAATTGGTGATTGTCCCAACCTGTAAAATGTTCTCTTTTTTGGGTCTTTAGACAAGTTTAGTTTGTGTAAATTTTTAATAAATATGTAGGGAATTATTTGTTCCTGTACCGTTTGTTCACTGTTGTAATTTAAAATTACTTAATGATTTAATTGAAACTCGATAAAGTTTCCACTTTCCTTTAAAAATCGACACAATAGCAGTGTCAAAAGTTTAGGCCAAACCAACAGTCATTCAGGGTCAAGGACAACCTTCCTTTCATGGATGAAAAGTTTATTGTTATTTTCAAAATCATTTCGCCGAACTTACGCTATAATTTTGTGGAAAAGAATTCATGATTCCATATTTTCAAGGATCCATGATACATATGCTGGTTTATTTTGTTGAACATGTATCAATATACAAACTAATTTTGCTTTGCTCAGCCTATTTTGTAAGGCGGAAGTCTTTCTGGTGGCCTAATTAAAAATAAAAACGGAATACACATGATGAAAATCCGCGTATGACATATTATAAACTGAGTGTTTTTTTTAAGCTGTTACTCAACAGCATAGAACACGAGATAACAATTTTAAGCGTATGAAAAATTTGGATAAAAAGTTAACAGAGAAAATTACACTATAGCATATTTTTTACTTTCAAATGAATTTTCAATACAAATCCGCATACTCCGCATATTCCCCTGAGATATTCCCACAGGCACTTGTCTCAGAAAAAAATTCCTATATACCTTAATATAACACAAGGTACTTAACTCGCAGTTTTGAAAAGTGTCTCCCGGTCGCGAAATTCCGTTATTTGCCGATTTCTCGGTTGTCAACCCCACTAAAACTTGTTATGCCGTAACTCAAAATTAATTTATCTACACAATGGTGTATAACACGCCTACCTTTGTAGTAGGAATCATCCGTAGCAGGCCTACCCAAGTATGTCAACCGTAATTATTTCGTCTACCTACACTCGATTGGAAACATAAGACTCGCAGTAAGTTTTAAAGGCTTGTTTGGTTTCCCAAAAGCAAGTCACTGACTTTGACTTGTTTAAACAATAGTAAATCAAGTGGCAAATATGCCATGCATGTTCAGGACGACTCATGAGCTGCTCAGTTTTCTAGTATTAGAATTTTGAAATGTTAGTTCTTTTTTTCTGGAACATTGATTAAACTCTACAAGTTGGCATTCTTATGCCATAACTATTAACCCATGTCTTTATATATTAGACTGTTGAATTAAAGTATGGCGTAATATAGATGTGTCGGAATAACGGGGTTGTCTTGATACACGTATCTGAAATCCTGACTTGAAGTAGATATTTGTACTTGAAACATATTCCATTTATTCTAAATTAACCTCTTTAAAATGGTTTAGTTTATTAAAAAAGCTTATCATCAAGTTTATGATGTATATGGTTCTCCGCTTGCTGATATAAATGACTGTGAATGTGATAATCACAAACGCATAAATACTGAGGAAAAGTCGAAATTTCGAGTTTTTAAACGTTGAAATTTTGAGTTTAAAAGAAGTCGAAATTTTTAATTTAAAAAAAGTAGAAATTTCGAGTTTAAATGAAGTCGAAATTTTGAGTTTAAGGTCGAAATTTCGAGTTTTAAAAAAGTTAAAATTTCGACTTTTTAAAAAGTCGAAATTTCAAGATTTCAGAAAGTCAAAATTTCGAGATTTGAAAAAATTAAAATTTCGAGTTAAAGTCGAAATTTTAAGATTTGAAATGTCAAAATTTCGACTTTGAAAAAAAAAAGTTCACTGCCAATTTTATTTTTACTATGTCCCTAATACGCTTCCGTATATTTCAACTTATTCAATATACTATATAAATCCTTGACCTATGTAAGGTGTTCTTTTTCTTATCCATACGATATCATGGATATTACAATACCAGGACTGATTTGCTTAAAACGTTGGATACAGTCATGATACGGATTATGTTCTTCTCGTATATTTTATTATGGTATGATACTAAACCCCAAACGGGAGGGATTGTGCTTGATTTTCGTATGATGAAGACATATTAATCGTTCAATCAGTTTAATTGAGGTCTGGAGCTGGCATGTCAGTAACTGCTAGTATTCCTTTGTTAATTTATGTTGATCATTGTCATTTCGCTTAGTTTCTTCTGTTACCTATTCTAACATCGGACTCGGACTTCTTTTGAACTGAGTTTTACTGTGCGTATTGCTGTGTGTTTGTTTATTCTACATTGGCTAGAGCCGGGTATGGGGTGAGGGTTGAGATCTCTCATAACAGTTTTGCGCCTGTCCCAATTCAGGAACCACTGTCCTTTGTAAGTCTTGTATGGTTTTTTTTAATTTTGGTTCATTTATATGTTTCGGAGTTTAGTGTGGCGTCCGTTTTCTCTGAACTATAAAAATAAGAAGATGTGGTATGATTGCCAATTAGACAACTCTCCACAAGAGACTCAATGACACAGACATTAAATTTTGTTTAGGGGGCCAGCTAAAGCCGCCTCTGGGTGCAGGATTTTCTCGCTGTGTTGAAGACCCATTGGTGGCCTTGAGCTGTTTTCTGCTCTTAGGTCGGGTTGTTGTCTCTTTGACACATTCCCCGTTTCCCTTCTCAATTTTATCCACTGGATATCCTATTCAATGGATAAACAGCCTATCCATTAGAAAGCTATCGAGCGGTTATTACTTTTGTTACTCAACCACTGGATATCGTTCGAAATAGCTCATCCATTCAAAAGAGGAAGTTCACAAGACAAAACTATCATCAAATACTAGAGAATTGCCAATATATTAAAGAGACAGCGCTTTTATTGCAGTTATTGAAAAGTTGCTAAGGTCGGACTATCGAACTATGATTTGAAAAATTAACAATTTACAGCATGTGTCTTCTTATCTTTTTGTAATTGTCAAGGATTTAATTTTCTTACCATTTTAGTACTATTTTCGTTATTTTAAAATGAAATAGAAGACAACTATGCGTAGTTAATGTTCAAAACTTGAATATTATTGAAAATAAGTTGGGGGTATTGAATAAAAGTTACATACTTGCGGAATAAAAGTAAATTGATTTTATCATATGTAATTTCACTCGAAAAAAACAAGGTCTGCATGCTTTCGAAAAAGTGGAACGATTCACTGCAAAAAACACAATCTCAACCGGACACCATACCTACTGTGTAGCTAGTGAGTGTTTACCACCTGTGTAAAGATGTTCATGGAACAATCTACCAACCAACATTTATTCAATTTTGAGAGTCACTTAAAGATTATCAATTTTAACAAACGAAACATTTTTACTTAATTTAGGTTTAGTAACCGCAGTATAGAAACTGAGAGACAAGAACGCAATCTAAATAGTGTTTCGGGAAAACTTTAGCTTAGTGCTTTCCACATGTGAAATGCTATATGTTAACATTGGTTGCATAACTAAACAGAATTTGTTCTAGATTGCAGTCTTTATAATTAACCAAGATTATAACTCTTATAAAATTTATTTCAAAAGTTTCCAAACCTGCGAAACATGAATAAAAATCTCATCGCATGGATCATGACAAACAAAGATTTAAATTTTAATCAATTACTTAGTCTTATTTAAAAAAAATCCAGATGAGACAGAAAAAAAAAGAGATATAAGTTACATTAACAAAAAAAGAGGCGGATATTTCCAAGGGGATATTAAAAATTCATAATTCGAAGAAAACTGACAAGGCCATGGCGAAAACCGAAAGACGACGAAAAGGCAAACAACTCTAGTAAACACTTCATCAGATGTTACTTAATTACCTACTTTCTTAATAACGACTAATACGATATAAAAAAAAAAACAAACAACAACACATGGTCTAATAGGTAGCCGTATTTAGTATAATGTAGGGTGCCACATGTGGTGCAGGGTCTGCTTACCCTTCCGGAGCACCTGAGATTACCCCAAGTTTTTGATGGGGTTCGTGTTGCTCAGTCTTTAGTTTTTTATGTCGTGTTTTTGTATTGTTGTTTAATTGTCTGTTTTGTCTGTTTGTCTTTTTCTTTTTTATCCATGGTGTTGTCAGTTTATTTTCCACTTATGACTTTGAATGTCCCTTCGGGATCTTTCGCCTTTCTTTTAGTACATATGCAAACAGGGGAGGGGATTTCAAGCTTGGAGTACCACCAGTATGTTCCGACATTGAGGCTTATTTATTTGTTATTATGTCTCAAATGTGCATTGACTGATGATAACCTTTTTATTTATCCCCCAAAAAGTATGAGCTGAAAATATTTCATGATTATTAGAATGACATATTTTTAAATATTTTAATGAGTGTAAACTACATTTGCACTATTAATATACTATAATAATGCACATGTAAAGAGCCTCAGGAAATGACAAGACGTATTCACAAATCAAACACGCCTAATAATATGTTTTGTAAATAGGCACATTAACCTCACATTTTAAGAAGATAGAAAACATATTTTTATGCACCGACCATTCATCTATGGTCATCTATTCGTCTTTTTTTTTAGTGAGGGGGGAGTCTTAGGACAAGCTGCATTTGTTCTCGACTCTAATATGAAACGATCTTACTTCCCATCTAAAACGAAAGTTTGAATCAATACCTAAAAATAATGAACGGTCGGTGCTTTAAACTGACTAAAAAATCGTTTCTCAATGTTTGTTTACTTTTATTGGAGCTCTGGTGGATACACCATTTTTCCAAGTTAGAGGGAGATTGAGCGCTCACAAACATGTTTAATGTTGGTGAGCGCTCAAAATAACCATGCCAAATCTTCATGTGCTTGTCGCAAGTCTGGATGGTTGTCGTTGTTTGCTGTTTAATTGTTACATCTGTTTTCCATTTTGTCATTAATCAACTCTTTTTTTCCTCGTTTGATATGTTTCATATTTTGTAATGTAGGGACCTTTATAACCGACTACACGGTATTGGTTATTCTCATTATTGAAGGCCGTTCGGTGACCTATAGTTGCTTAAACCGCCTCATTTAGGAACTGTGTTGAATAGTTGTCTTATTGGCATTTCATGCCACAACAGGAAAGAAGTATCTGTGATTATATGATTTCATGCCTTCAGCAGTCAAGCTACGTTACTAAAGATTTGGGTTTTTTTTTCTTACGTATACTTAAACGCATACTCTTTTTACAAGTAACTGTTTCACTCCCAACATTGGATTGCCTGGGGCCCTGTTTTCCAAATCCTGGACCCGCACCTGTCTACGCGACAGCTGAATACCCCACCCCCTTATTTTAACTAGTTGACGTGGACCTAGACTATATTGACGGACTGATTTTGTCTTTTGTTTTAGTCAAGGGCACAATCTTAAGTCCCAGTTTAAAGTTTAAGTGAAGTTTTGTTTCACCGTACGTCTTTATTTCCCGATTCACGGTTCATTAAGCCGTTCGCTATCCATTTATTGGTTAATGTATTTGGCGGGTAAATTCTATTGAAATTAAATTGAAGTTTTACACAAAGCATGCTATGATTTGCATGGTTGGCCATTTTGGAATATCTGACATATTCATACTTTTTACTTGTAGCCACAAGCCCTTGCCATTTTTTTTCTCTATTGTGGTTCATTGTCTGTTTTTTACTTACCATAAGCTGCCTGACGGTTGCCAAAAGTGAACCAGAAATTATAACTCTTCCAGAACAACGGTGAACCTAGTTCACCCTGGTTTTTGATGAAGTTCCTTTTGACCGATTTATAGTTTCCTGGGTAGTACTTAGACGATTGTTCTATTTCTGTTCGTGTATTACTCTTAGCAATGGTATTTTCTGTTTTTCTTCGACATAGTTTCTGATTGCCTCCTGGTATCTTCCCCACACATTTTATATATATAGTATGTAAGACTTAATTCTCCCTGATTTAGGCCTACTTATAATATCAAATAATGTCAACTTGCTATCAACTACAACACCTTTTTTGTTGGCGTCTGATGGATTTATTTTTATGTTTGTTTGAATTTTTAGTCAGTTGTGTTGTATGTCTGTGATGTATGTTTACACAGTTTTGGCTGCTGGATCCAAATTATTGTCACATTAACCTATTATCTCGCCCAATTGTTTCAATGTAACAGAACTATAAACAACTATCATACAAGTAGGAGGTTTAGCTAGCTTTAAAACCAGGGTTAACCCACCGTTTTCCTCGGAAAATGCCTGTACCAGGAATATGACAGTTATTTTTTCACTCCTTCCGTTGGTTGATAACGTTTGATTTTGTCAGCTTTAATGGACTTCACCTTTTTGAATTTACCTTGGAGTTTGGTATTTTTGTTATACTTTATTAATTTGATTTTTTTTTATTTCCAGTGGCAGATATTTGATCGGCATAGTCATAACGAACTTCTATTCTTATATTTTATTACTATTTGCTTTTGACGGGAACTTATCCCACAATTAAGTTTTTTTATAATTCCAGGAAGGGTTAAGCAATCTATAAAAATATTATATTTCTCTCATTATCAAATTTGATAACACGCAATGATGTAATTAAACCCTTTATGTTTAGTTTTTCAGTATTCTCGCATTTGAAGTGTACCGCTTGATGTTTTTGCTGTTTAACAATGAACACCATGTATGATGTTTGTTTGATTTTAGTTGTACTAGTAATGGGTTGCTATGGTCATAAGGCGGATTCTGGATCGTACACACTAAAACTTGGTATGTATGTTATCTTAAAAGTTTGTTTCTACAACCAGCCACAGATAGCCTTGCTGTATATCATATTTGTCATTTCGGGGCCTTTATTAGCTGACTATATATGTTGTATGGGTTTTACTCATTGTTGAAGGCTGTACGGTGACCTATAGTTGTTAATTTCTGTGTCATTTGGTTTCTTGTGGAGAGTTGTCTCATTGGCAATCATACCACATCTTCTTATTTTTATATCAGCTATAATTTCGACATAACGTTTTTGAATTTTTGGTTTGCATTGGCTTTCCTGTTGTTTTAATTCAAGCGCCACTGATGAGTCTTATGCGACCACAAATCACGTATGGGATACCAAATTTCGAGCCTGGAATCTTCGGTGTATTTTTTTATTTATTGAAATTCATATAATTAAAAACAAAACAAAAAAAAATATTTGCATAATATACATATCTAAAGAAGTACAAACTAAAGTAGAGCCGAATGAAGAAAACTAATTGAAAATGATTGAATACCTTCATACAGTTTTCTAAATTATTTTAAAACGATTGAGACCATGAAGAGAGGCGAAAGATACCAAAGGGATATTCAAACTCATAAGTCGAAACAAACTTGACACTGTCATGGCAAAAAAAAACACAAACCCAAACAAAAACCCGGAGTGATCTCAAGTGCTCTGGAAGGGTTAGTAGATCCTGCTCCACATGTGGCACCCGTCCTGGTGCCCATACAAGTACAAACGCAGTGATAAGTCTCATTCGGTAGGTCACATTCGAGGAAAGAGGACGGGATTGTGGTTACGACAATTGGAATATATCCGTCGTCTTCTGTGAAACAGATATTCAAAAAACGGTCAACCAACTCATGATGGCGTCTGTAAAATTTTCGAGGGAATAATTTCAACTTCACTACTTGGAACTTTTGGCTTGATAGCTTCCTTGTAAGCAGCAATTATAGATACCATAACATATTTTAGAATTAATAAGATTGATAAAATTTGATATGCATTATGTACCCTGCTATCATAATATATATTCGCGTTAATTATTTTCAGTTTCTTGTTTTATCTTTTATGTGTTTATTTGTTAAACAGAAAACGCCAGTTTTGAAGATCTTCATAGTATGTTCACAAAAATCAAAGGAACAGGAGAAGGTAATAAATACCAACTGTATCAGTAATTCGTGTTTTTGTATGATAGATCTTTATTCATTTTTATACTAAATATTACCAATGATGTTTACTCATGTACAGGCTGTATCTACATACGTTTTCGTGGTTTTATAATACTGAAGTTATGTGTACAATTCTGTAGTCTTTATAATTTATTTACAATTAAAGCGTGTGTTTTTCAATTTAACTTTATAAGTCTACACGTCATTTAACATATTCAAAATTCAATACAATACTCGTCTTCTTCCTCTACATTTACACCTGGAAAATACATATGGACATACATGGAGTGCATTTCTTTCTAACACGAACGATGCAAACGGCTAAGCGCGCACATGTTTTGATCATTTGTTTCTAACATACGTTTGCAAAGTTTACATAAACTTTGACAAACTATGCACTCGCTAAAAATGCGTCTACAGTTTGTCGTTCGTCGTTTGTTAGAACAAACGCTACATTTGTTTCTAACTTCAATTTTGAATCAATTATCTGCACGTGTTTTTTCCGCTTAAAACAAACATTGGAACAATCTGCAAAAAGACAAACAATGCAGTGAAATCTTCACCCAAGTGCCAATCATAACATACAAACGTAATAAAAATATATAAGAATACCTTGCTAAATCAAGGCAATAAGTGGGTGACTTTTGAAAGGGACCAATGGTCCAAGGACAGTTATCGTCCTTTACGAATGTAGTCCCGAGTGTAAACCTAAATTTTAGACCCCCTTAACACAGAATTGTCAATATTTTGAGTAAGAGCTGGTACACTTTTCTATAATTTTGATATTGTTTGTCCCAATAGTAGTACACTACACTGTAAAATTCTTTTTGAGATAGAGCAGGTCCGATTTTATTAATTTGACTTTATTGTCTAAAAGAAATGCACTACTAAATAACTGTGCTCTTGAGATTTATTACGTATGTTGGTTGAAGGAACCGCTTTTAATACTAGCATTATTGAAAGTTCAAACAGGGTCAGTAAACACTGATTGAACGATGTATTTGTTTCTACATTTGTAGCGATTAGCAAACGAAAACAAACGCCACACAAAGTTTACAAAATATTGGTAAGAAAGAAATGCACTCATATGGACACACACACTAATTAAATAATTTTATAATAATTCCTTTCATAATAATTCCCTACTTCTCCGAAAAATAATTTTCTTTATGTCCGTTACATAAACTATGTCTTTTTTAAATTCATTCATTACACAAATCTGACTATTCTAAATAAAATAGTTGGTTTTTCAAATATTTATTTTTTGTTCCTATACAGGTTTGAGTCAACATGACAAAGATTTTTCAGCCTTTGCAGCTTCTTTAACTGCTGCAAAAACCTTGGGAGCTGGTTAAATTGTAAAGTTTGATAAAGTTTGGACGAATGTCAATAATGATTATGATCCAATTACTGGCGTATACACAGCTCCAAAACCAGGGGTGTACCAGTTCTCATGCTCCGTTATGACACAAAACAAGAAACGTCTTCGTGTTTACCTGTGGAAAAATAACGAAAGGACAGTATGTATTTATCCTGGTTATACTGGTCATAATATGGGAACTCTAAATATGGTGTTACATCTTAAGAAAGGCGACAAAGTATACATTAAACAAGGTGGGTCGGAGACATACATTTACAGCGATTCTGGAAGCAACTTCAGTATGTTTTCTGGATATCTAATTCGGTAAATTGTATACGAATAAAGATTTAATATAAAAAGTAACAAAATATTTTCTGTTTTTTTTTTCTATTGGCATTTCAACGCCATGTTCGGGCAGGTGCTCATTGTTGTGCGCTTCCATTTCAACGTTTCAGAATATTAACCCTCTTTTGTGATATTTTCAAAAAACCTAAATTAAGACTTTGTGATTGGTTTATAACCCGCAAACAATTGATATTTTGTATAATAAAGAATATTAACGCTCTTTTTAAAAGATGTTACATGACAATAACTGTCAATGAACTCCAAGGAACCAGAAGGAACCAATTATTGTTGTTTGCATCTACATATATTAAACTGAATGTATTAACTAATGTGAAATAATGTGAGTTGTATAATGCATATGATACTCATTGTCTCATTCTGTAAAGAAAATCTTTGATTTAACTGCATATCCAACATTAGGTCGCAGACTATGAATGATCAATTTTTGAGGGGGTGGACAGGGGGGTACCCTTCTCCCACCTCCCACTTTTAGAATCTTTTTTTCTCTCCCGCCTATTTTTTGTCTCCCACCTCCCGCCCCATCACCCACCTCCCTCAAAAGCTTTCCACCCCCTCATTTTTGAGTCTTTTCATCACACTTTTAAGAAGCTTAAAATAGAAAAATCTTTAAAAAACAAAAAACTTCTTTAATATGAAAATATCTTTCGGTACTTTCTGCAACTCAGACAAATAAATGACTTTAAGATTTAAAATGTACAAATGTATTCTAATTGCATATATCTGATGGAAAATGGAGGAATGAAGCATATTTACTTTTCACAAAAACAGGTAGGCACTAGACAAACCAAAAGCAATGAGAATGCACTTTCATTACTACTCTTCATCACAAAGTTACAAACAGATGGACCTTCATCACGGAGTAAATACCCACACCTCACTGCAAGTTAAAGACGGATCCTAGTATCGGTTTCATGCAAACAAACAAAAAACCTTACGAAAGAGAGATAATGAGCTAGAAGTGCACACAAGAGAAGTTATTATAAAAATAAAAACGATATAACCGTAAAAATATTAGAGCAGACGTCTCATGCATGGTTCATTAGCTTCTCTATTAAACATTCATTACGTAAATCTTCATAGGATTTTATTGTTTTCAATGTTCCCTTTTTCCTCTAACGATGTCCTATTTAGTTGTTCTATCATATCTCTTATAGGTGATCTTTTGTGGTACCGGTTTGTTTTGTTGGCTATTTTTCCCACTTTGGGTCTGATGTTATTGTTATGTTAACCAAGGATATTTAACCGATGTTATATGTTTGCACAGAAATCAGTATCACACGTTCCCCTCTTTTGTTAAAAATACAAAAGGTTTTGCATTCAGACACTTGACACATACTGTGGTAACAATTTACCAAACCTAAAAAAAAGCAATGTATTGCCATGACTACTAAATGTAAGACATGATAATGGACAACAAAGCACACAACGTTAAAACAAAAAAATACAAAAACGAAAACATTACCAAATAAGTTTGAAAACTAGTTTAACCCACATGTCCATGTGTCTGTCAAAAGTCCGGATCCTCGCCAGTAGGTCCTGTATGTCATATCTTAACTTTCTGTTATTGGTCATTTTGAAAAATTGGTGTTAGACAGATCTTCAATTTTTTCGGTTGATATAAAAATATGAAGATTAGGTATGATTGCCAATGAGATAACTTTCCACCAGAGACCAAATGACGTAGAAGTTAGCAACTGTAGCTAACTATAGGTCACCGTACGGCCTTCAACAATGAGCAAAACCCATACCGCATACCAAGCTATAAGAGGGTCCGACATGATAAATGTGAAATAATTCAAACGATTAAATTAATCACTTGTTTATTGTTGAAGACTGTATGTTGCCCTCTATATGTCTTTTTGATATTTTGGTCGTTGCGTATATCCCACGTGTCATTTTATCATGTTTATTGAGTTCTCAGGTAAAAATTAATAAATATTTAGAAATTTTACTCAATCGGTGCAATTGTGCTCCTTTTCTTGTGATACACCTCTATTCGTATGAAGCAGACTTAATACAGGCGCTTCTTTCGAAAACAGAAAAAGGTAGCATAATCATTCAACTTATATATCAATTATATATGATTGATTAATTCATCGTTGTTTGACCAACGATCAGTGGCAAATAGTTCATCTATATTTAGGACGAAAACAAATTCAATATTAATCTAATAGGTAGGGACCGGAAATGTGGATTCCACGATGTAAACTATGTCTTTTCAGTGAACTATACATACTAGTATATAGTTCGGTGGCTGTTGACCGCGTCTTTTCTATTTGACTTAAAATAAATGATACCTCTGATACACGCAGTTAGATCTGCTTCATAACTTGAAACTATAAATCTACAGTGAGGGTCTGTTGAGAATTAAAATTAACAAAAAAATATGACTTTTTTTTTCAATTTTGAGCTTTCCATATTTATGTAGCAACATTCCAGGAGAACATATATATACATATGAAGAACTTATTTTCCAGATGGTACGATATTTCAGAGTTCGTGTTTCCTTTCTGTATTTTAAACTGAGTGTCAGACTCACTGATGCACCACTTCAACTGACGACTTCAGTCTCGGTGCCCTTACTGCCCTAACGGACAAGAGTCAGTATAGATGACCTGTTGCTAGGCAAAAATTCAGCTTCTACCAAACACATTCAGATTCAGAGGTATGGCTATTCGAAACGGTTTTTATTTCAATAAATGCATTGATTCGTCACTTGATTTATGTTCGTCCCACATAGGAGCATATAGACGGCGGTAGTCAAAAAGTTGGAGGTATCTCATTACCATTTCCCAGTTTGACTATATATGTTAATAGGTGAATCCTAAGTTGCGAGATATCAGAAATATATGTAGTCAATATCTTTTTCAAATTAATGCATAAATGTTAAAAGGAGATGTGGAGATGTGATGCAATCCAAAGACATAAACAATCAGAGGTCAATATAGTCTCCAACATTAGACAGGTATCTATAAAATACATCAATATATACGAGATGAGTAACTCGCCCCGTAAAGATAAACATAGATTAAACAGGAACGATCACCCTACAAAGAACGTGTATACTGTATGATCTCCATCGTTGATTTCGTCTTTCCATAGATTATGTGGCAGTGAATTAATTTCATTCATTGATTATCATTAAACAACAGTAACATACAAACAAACCTTATCATAATGGATTTTGCAAAGCATTTGAAAATGTACCCTGTCACAGGTAGAAGAGAGGCGAAAGATACCAAAGGGACATTCAAACTCACAAGTCGAAAATAAACTGACAACGCCATGGTAAAAAAAAAGACCAAAAAGACAAACAACAGTATACAAAACATATCATAGAAATCTAAAACTGAGCAACCGAACCCCACCAAAAACAAAGGGGTGATCTCAGGTGCTCCAGAAGGGTAAACAGATCCTGCTCCACATGTGACACCCGTCGTGTTGCTCATTTACGAACAAATCCGGTAATAAGTCTAATTCGGTAGGTCACATTCGGGGAAAAGAGGACGGAATTGTGGTTACGACAATTGGAACATATCCATCGTCATCTGTGAAACAGATATTTCATAACGGTCAACCAACTAGTGATGGCGGCCGTAAAATTTTCGAAGGGGTGATTTCAAATTGCACCACTTGGAACTCTTGGTTTGATAACTTCATCGCTTGGAACTTTTGGTTTAATAGCTTTCTTTTGAGCAGCAACCCTCTATCAAGGAAATCATGATAGGAAATGCAAGCACTGAAATACCGTATCAACTGTAAGATATATACTTCATATGCTTACAACTCTACTATTATGCTATCTAAAATGAAACATTGACTACTGCATGGGTCACAGATTTCCTTACTGATCGTCCAAAAACTGTTGTTCTGGATGGAGAGTCATCTGGCATGTCTCAAGTCATCTAACTTTAAAGATGAACCCCAATGCACATTTTGGGGTCCAGTCTTATTTTAATTGGGTTTATATAAATGATCTATCGGAATATTTTATATCGAGTAAAATAAGATTATTTACAGATTACAAAACATTCTACATCACAGTCAGAACTCAAAATGACTGTAATGCTCTGTAGTCCGATCTAGGTGGGATAATGACTGGTTAATGGCTTTCCAATTATACAAATGCACAGTTCTTACAGTAGAGTCAGGAGGGAGGGGTCTTTCAATTCTGTATTCTTTGATTTTTAAGCCATTTTTCGCAATTCTTAAGAATTTTGTTCATTATTCTCTTTTCTTTATATTTTAGCACTCCATTATTTCTATTTTTCTTGTTTTTTACCTTTTTTCTCCAATGACCATTCTCTATATTTTTCCCCTTTTTTCTGCACTTTTTGTCCATTATTCTCTATTCTATAAAAGAAAACCCATCCAGATCCTCTAACAGTTATACACACACAAACACGACTTATATTACAAACTTGAGGGTTGAGCGCTCACAAACATGTTTAACCCCGCCACATTCTTCATGTGCCTATCCCAAGTCAGGAGCCTGTAGTTCAGTGGTTGTCGTTGGTCCATGTCTGTCATATTTGTTTTTTTTTAATTGTTTGTTATAAATTAGACCGTTAGTTTTCTTAATTGAATTGTTTCATATTTTTCATGTTGGAGCCTTTTATAGCCGACTATACGGTATATGGGTTTTCTCATTGTTGAAGGCCGTACGGTTGCCTATAATTGCTTACATCCACTTTATTTGCACTTTGGTGGATAGTTGTCTCATTGGTAATCATACCTCATCTCCTTATCTTTATATTGAACGTGTTGTATGTCTGCCCAGAACATCAAGAACCAGGCTTATCTGTCGCAAGTTTGACCAAAACTGGAATATTCATGCTCAGTTTGGGACGACCACTCTGTTAAACAGACTTCAAAATTTTAGATGGTCATAAAAAAGGAGCTGTCAGATATATCTACAGTCTTGCAGTACCATAACATTAGTAGCGAAGCAGAAATCACAGACGCTTAACTTTAAACTGACCACCACTACAAGAATGTATATTATCGTGCAAGATCAATACAATGGAATGTTCTTAAAAATTATTTGTCATAATGTAGCTATACCATTTACTATGTTGAAAACCTGTCTAAACCGAATCGTGCATATATCGAAAAGAAACCTGATTAAACGGAACATCTGATAAAACCGAACAAAATATTAAGTCCCGAAGAAGTTCGGTTTAGGCAAGTTTCACTGTATCTGACGGTACAACACGTCAACATATAAAGATGATATAAGTGTTTATCCTTCCCGTCAATAATCCAATGGAATTCCATACCAACACAGATAACGAATTCAGGAAAAACTCAATCATATAAAAATATGAAGATGTGGTATAATTGCCAATGAGATAACTCTCCACCAAAGACCAAAACGACGTAGAAGTTATAATAACTATATGTCACCTTACGGCCTCAGTTCAACAATGAGCAAAACCCATACCATAGTAAGCTATAAAAGGACTCGAAACGAAAAATGTAAAACAATTCAAACGAGAAAACCAACGTATATATGTCTCTGTCTCTGTTTTTATATATATATTTTTTATAATTCATAAAATCCTTGTTTATCCATAATGCATTAATCGATAGACTGATCAATAAATTTAATGTGTTCTTTCATCGATTAACTGATAATTAATGTATTTTTTTTTGGGGGGGGGGGGGGGGGCTTTGGTCAAGAAGTTATTTTCGAAAATTTTAAGGTATTGCCATATTTGGAAAACGGGCACCTGTTGACTTCCATTGTTTACCTCTCGTTATTTCTCACATTTTAGCGGTTGCAGTCACGTGTTCGTGACACATGCTTACAGGCAACATGGCGGTTGTTTCTTGAACGACAAGAAAACTAAAACACTGTATTGTTCTTTAGTACCTGAGCGTCTTTTTAAGCTAAAAATATTGTTGGGATAATGCCTTTATCAAGAGAAGAAGCTTATGAGCTCTTAGAATTACCCGTTGGTAGGTTAAAGAAATGAATTTCTCGGTTGCTAAAATTATATGTTTCAATCTGTCAGTTGTATACAATTTCTCAAGTTTATGCTTCTAAGTTCTATCAAAAAGACAATTTGGAAAACAAAAATGAATGATGTTGAACCTGAAGAAAAAATGATCTGAGCAAATGTCACTCACTTGATATCATACCATTGCATAATTTAAAGTTCGCAATACATGATTTCATATTAATAATAATACGATGGACAGGTGCAACTAATGACAAAAATCTCTTAGGACGACCCCCACCCCGTTTATGTACAATGTAACATTTGCTCATCAACAATTCATCATGTTGGACTAACAATAAAAATTCTGTGATAGATCTATCATTGTCTATAATTGTCTTTAATGTCAAGAAGATGGATTTTATGTGGATTTAGATCCTTGCTTTTGGTAAATAGGCAGTCCATAGATTTACCCAAAAGGCGAAACACCCCCAAAAAACTAAGAAAGTCAAAATATGTATGAATTACCATAATGTACATGTATATCTGCACTAGTGAAAAAAGGATGAAATAGCTACAGCCTACAGAAAACTACTCAGATAAGGTATCCGGTTGTTCCGTCCCCAAACTGATCCAGCCCCAAGTCGATCCGGCCCAAAGTCGATCCGCCCCACGTCGGTCCGGCCCTACGTCGATCCGGCCCCATTATAAGATAATGAATAATCTATACTGCTTTTGGAGGATCTGGTGACAAATTTAAATCAGTATAAATGGAATTTGTAAAATCTAAAGTATGATCGATTGATTGACGACATTATTTTGAATCGATACGAAAATGAGTGTAATTGTGTCTGTTTACATATAAAATATATTGTTTTCCATACTGGACATTAGTGTTTGCATACGACAAAACATTTTCAAAGTTATGTAATTAACAAGGTCTTTATACATGTAGTTTTATCTTTAGTTTGATATTAGTTATATTAATTAATTGTGATATTAAAAGAAAACGCATTCTGTCTCCTCTTTTATAGAAAGGATTAGGCAAATTTCTCAATTCTAGAAGTTTTTAAAACTTATAATGAAAACGTAATCAACATAGTTGTTTTATACTCATCCAATGAAAATATTCGCCATCCAATGAAAATATTCACCAAAGGCCAACTTTTTTTTAACGGTACAGCTTTATCATTATTATAGAATTCATAAACATTTATGAATTACAATATATATCTTCTTTTTTATTCCCTATAAATATACAGTGTTCTCCCCAGGATTTTTTTAAGGCGCAAAATTCAAGGGCGCGTAACTCTTTTTATACGACCGCAAAAAAATTTTTGTGGTCGTATATTGGTATGACGTTGGCGTCGTCGTCGTCCGAATATACATTAGTTTTCGCACTCTAACTTTAGTTTAAGTGAATGGATCTCATTGAAATTTTACCATAAGGTTCAATACCACAAAAGGAAGGTGGGGATTGATTTTGGGGGTTATGGTACTAACAGTTAAGGAATTAGGGGCCAAAAGGGGCCAAAAATAAGCATTTTTGTAACTTCCAGACATAACTTGTGTGTAAGTGTATGGATCTCTCTGACATTGTACCACAAGGTTCCATATCACAAAGGGAATGCTGGGATTGATTTTGGGGGTAATTGTCTCCAAATTTTAGGAATTAGGGGCCAAAAAGGGGCAAAAAACAAGCATTTTTCTAGTTTCATGACAATAACTTGTTTGTAAGTGTATGGATCTTTATGAAATTGTACTACAAGGTTCCATATTACAAAGGGAATACTGGGATTGATTTTTGGGGTAATTTCCTCCAAATATTAGGAATTAGGGGCCAAAAAGGGGAAAAAAACAAGCATTTTTCTAGTTTCATGACAATAACTTGTTTGTAAGTGTATGGATCTTTATGAAATTGTACTACAAGGTTCCATATCACAAAGGGAAGGCTGGGATTGATTTTGGGGGTTTTCCCTCAAAATTTTAGTAATTAGGGGCCATAAAAGGGCAAAAAAAACATGCATTTTTCTAGTTTCAGGACAATAACTTGTGTGTAAGTGTATGGATCTTTATGAAATTGTACTGCAAGGTTCCATATCACAAAGGGAAAGCTGGAATTGAGTTTGGGGGTAATTGCCCTAAACGTTTAGGAATTTGGGGCCAAAAAGGGGCAAAAAAACAAGCATTTTTCTAGTTTCCAGACAATAACTTGTGTTCAAGTGTATGAATCTCTCTGAAATTGTACTGCAAGGTACCATACCACAAAGGGAAAGCTGGGATTGAGTTTGGGGGCGATGAATCATAAGGGGGTTCAAAAAATTGGGGGGGGGGGGATTTTTTTTTTCCTTTTTTTTCTTTAACATTTTCCATTTTAAATTGGTTATTTCTGATTTATATATAAAAGCAAATAATAATGATATGGTTTGAATAGGCATACATGTGAACCTCCCGATGGGAGTACAATAATCCCGTTTTCAGGGGTGTCCTCCACCCCTCCCGTTGAAAAAATCCCGTGTATGAAATTTTTCATGAATGAAAAATTTCTGCCCAACATAACATCTCAGGCATCTGGTGTAACTGACATTACCTGAAGTTATATTTTACCTGTAAATCAATTAACATGCATAATTATATGGCTTCACTTGTCAGCTTGGGTGTCAAACATACTGGTAAGCAACGATTTTTACCTCAGGCTAACTGCCGTTGTGTAACAAAAACTGTGTATTTATTGGGTTACTTCCCTTGATTTATCATGTTTTAAGTTACTTTCCTTTTAATAATGAAAATTTTTAAAAGAATATAAATAAAATATAAATTGAACAAATAATCATAAAAGGATGGTTATTAAATGATTTTAAATGTCTTAGGACAAATAAAAAAATAATAATTTGAAAATTATTTGAGGATTCTATACTTCCTTTTAAGGCTTAAATTGAAATTTATATAATAACTATGACCCTAACTTTACAGATAGAATGAATTTCTGAGTTTGCAAATAAAAACTATTTGCAAGAGAAAAAAATAAAAAATAAAAACTATTTGCAGACAGCTAAACAAATGTTCTGGTTGCAATGATTGTTTTATAGAATATGAAGTAAAAAATTTAAAGAACATACTGGAAAAAAACAATGTTAGATTGAACATGTAGAATATAAAGATGGAGAAACTTTATAAGTACAAGGGTACTATAAACATAATAAATTGGTTGGAAAGTTGAAGAAAACACACTTTAAAAGACCATTTTTACAGCACACGGTTACATTTACAACAAAATTAATGTCGATTAAAAACCTCCTGATCTGAGTCCTAATCTCCTGACCAAAATTTCCCAATCTCCTGATCTGAGTTTCACAGTCCATCACATGTATGAATAGGTAAATTGAAAATTTTTAAGTTCTTAGACCACTTTCATTCTGTGTCAGAAACCTATGCTGTGTCAAATATTTAATTACAATCCAAATTCAGTGCTGTATCAAGCTTGAATGTTGTGTCCATACTTGCCCCAACTGTTCAGGGTTCGACCTCTGCGGTCGTATCAAGCTGCGCCCCAGCGGAGCATTTTATTTTAGAGTGATCTGAAGCAATAAGTCATAAATCATGACATTTAATATGAATTATAATGCTTTGTGTTATGTGTTTAATAATGCAGAGTATTAATGAATTACAAGAATATATATATGAAATAAATTGATTTTAAACACAAAAGTTATTTATATTCAGTAAATTAAAGAAGTCAAAATATAAATATTCATCTCTACTCTCTGCTCCTTCTAGGGATATTGTTTTTAGATAGTGTTATTTTGTTGGACAGTCTGTTCCTCAACTTTGTCTTTATCCTCTTCAGGGTTAAACATTAAACACCCACTCACAATAACTTTTGCTTATACCCCCTTTAACATTTCTAAGCCATGAAAACTCAGTCAGCCACTTGTCATTGAAACAAGAAACATGGTGCTTGCTTTTATCAATTGCTAAAACTTGAGCTTGGTTGGGATTAGGAGAAGCAATGAAATCTGCTTATACTGACAGTGTAGACGGAGGTGTATTCCCCTTTTCATTAGAAGTCATTGGTCTGAAAACAACTTCTACTTCCATCATCTACCTTTTACTTATAATTCACCCCTTTGTTATTTGCAGAGAACATGTTCATTCTGAATTAATAAAATCGAATATGGTTAAGATATTTGGTATACAACTTTTTAAAACAATTTTTTTTTTATAAATGAACAGCTGACCAGTTTCCGTAGTTTCCCATTACGCTTCCGTGCGTATTATTGTTTAATACTATCATTGGCAGATAGATATAAACGAAATTTTACAAATTCGTTTAAGTTAAAACCATTGAAATTATTTACCAGTTACATTATACAGAAGCTGTGGCGATACTGTACCCGTTTTGATTGTCACATATTTCCAGACGCACGGATTCACGATCGATGTTCAATGATCATTTTATTTCTAAAAATATGACAGTTTCAGAAGAATTTACCTTGCAAGCAACATTTTTTCATTTTCTATTAAAGTAAATCACTCCTCATTATCTTTAATCAAACTCCATTTTAATTTTTTCAACTAATAATACTTTCATTCATAGTTTTCATCGTAAATATCTTTAGCAATGTGTATTCAAATTTATCATGTGTATTCAACACGTTCATTGGTCGTGTTTAAATAGATTCTTCTTCTCGACCAATGAAAAAATTCAGTATATAAATGGTCAAGTGATCACACACACGATGCGTAAATACAATGTATTTGCGATCTATTTCTTCAATTTCTGCACTGAAGTTTTTAAAATTTTTTATTTTCTTCAAAAAATATCTATCTTCTTGATGATCACTTACGCTATTACCTGATAACATAGTCCGATAAGGCTGAGATAAGCGTGGCTCAGGTAAAACTAATTATCACTTATTGTGTAACACTGACCGACCCATCAGCGGTGATCAGTTACTTGACAATTTTAACCAACATAATGAAAATGTGAAAATTAACACGCTACGGGATCAAGTATTA